TGTCAGATTCTCATTACCGATTATCATCTATGAGTTATTATACTTCCATATTTAGCGATATTCAGACTTGCAACAAATTAAATGGTATTTCATATTTTTAAGTGATTTATTGCAATTATTCAAAAATGCATTCAATCAAGAAAAGAGGATCATATTTTCACGAGGTTTTGCATTTTCTAAGGGTATGATGAAATGAAATTCTCCCGAACTGATTAAGTTTTACACATGCGAACTTTGAAGCGAATACAGGAAAAATGGGTAGAAAACAGTTTGGATTTCTAGCAGTCAACTGTGAGTGGCGCGGCGGTTGACCGCAAACGTACACGCAAGCTAGAAAAGTCTCTGGACTTTTCACGATCGACCACGATTGGTGCGGCGGTCGACTGCCCAAACCATGTAAATGTTTTTCAGTTTCTATCGTTCTGTCCGGTCGACCGCACGTGTCTCTGCGGTCGACCGCGAGTCGGGCTCAACCTGAGTTTGGTTTCCTGTTCACATTGAGTTTGTGTTTTGATATAAATTGAAACACAATTTTCTAGGGTTTCTAATCAGAGATTTTAGATTGTACTGAGCATATTTAGAGGGAGAACTTGTGAACAAGTTGAGAGATTTGGTTTAGGATTTGTGTGAGTGATTTATGAGATCGTAACCCTTTGTACTCTCCTTGATTTAGTGGAATCCCCCTATCCTCTCCCCGTGGACGTAGGCAAATTGTCGAACCACGTATATCTCTGTGTTTGGTTTGATTTGTCATATTTGGTTTGAATTGTGCTCGTGTGTGGTTGGTTCTCTTCTCCAGTAATCACAGATTCGTTCGGTGTGCGAGCACGCTTCCGCATAGGCACGCAACAATTGGTATCAGAGCTCAGATTTCAGATATAGGGTTTTGGCATTAGGTAGAGGAAAATTCGTCGTGGAAGCTTGGTTCTTGGAGTTCTAGGCTTTGGTGGAGATAAGGTTTGGAGTTGCCATTGAAGATCTCGCTTTCCTTGTGTGGTTAGGAGTTCTATTTAGAATCCAATCTAGGGTTCAGTTGGGTAATTTCTCAATCCTTTCAAAGTTTGAATCTTTCATTACAATTTGTAGTTTGTGATTATGGGTAAAAAAAATTAGTGAAAGCAGTAAGATGGCGGGTACAGTTCCAGTTGGTTTTTAGAACACTAAAATTATTGTGGTGAAGTATGACAGCAAGATCAATTTTGGTTTATGGATGAGCGATGTTCAGGATACGCTCAATGCTCAGAATTTGGAGAAGACCATCATGGTCCATGCAAAATATGAAGAGGCGATATGGAAAAAGATGAATAGGAACACTTGTGGGGTGATCAGGTCTTGTTTGAAACAGAAGCTGAAATATGATGTGATTGGAGTGACGTCTACAATGAAGATATGAGAATTTCTCAACAACAAGTACCTTACGAAGAGTGTTGAGAACAGATTATACTTGATGCGTAGGTTATTCAGCTTTCAAATGTCCAGGGGCACCTTACTAACAGTTCATATGAATAACTATACTAAGTTGTTGTCGGGCTTAGCGAATGTGGATGAGAAGATATCGGATGAGTACAATACTATTATTTTGTTGAGCTCCTTACCGTATAAGGAGTATGATACCTTTGTGCTCACTTTGTTGAACATGAGATCTTCTATCACCTATAGTGAAGCAACTAACGCTTTGACGAATTATGATTTGAGGAGGAATGATAAGGAGACTTCCCGTGCTAGTGCTTCAGGAGAGGCCTTGTCGATGAGAGGTAGAAGCTCATATCCGAGAGGTGGCAATAGAGGCGGGTCAAAGTCAATAGGCCATCATCAGCTAGGAAAGAACCAATGTGCATTCTACAATGAGCAGAGATATTGGAAGAGAGACTGTCCAAAGATCAAGGAGAAGGAAAATAGCAAGAAGAAGGGCCCGAAGACCAATAAGGTGAATGTTGCAAAATGCGATGATTCCGATGATTCGAGTTTTTCTCTATTGATTACTCCGAAGGTTAACCACTTGGATGCATCAGATTAGATGCTTGATTCTGACACTATTTATCATGTGACTCCTATGCGAGATTGGTTTTTATTATTTGAGAGACTCGATGTGGGTGTTGTTGTCATAAAAAATGATCAATCCTGTGGTATTTATGGGATAGGTATCATGAGTATTCGGATGCATGATGGAATAGTCTGTGAATTAAAAGAGGTGAGATTTATTCCTCAGCTGAAGGAGAATCTTATCTCAGTTGGAGCTTTGGAGGCGAAGGGACTCAAGGTAACTTTTGAGGATGTTGTAGCAAATGTTACTAATGGATCTTTGGTGGTGATGAAGGGAGTCCGCAGTTGGAACTTATATTATCTGAAGGGGAGCACCGAGATTGACCAGGTTACTTCAGCTATTTCAGAGGTGAATATTAGCAGACTTTGGCACTACAGGTTGGGGCACACAGGAGAGAAGTCACTGCAGGCTTTGTGCAAACATGGGCTATTGAAGGGAGCCAGGAGTGAAAAAGTTAAGTTCTGTGAGCACTGTGTTATTGGCAAGAAGACGAAGGTGAAGTTCGGGATAGCCATGCATAGGATGAGGGGCATCCTGGATTATGTGCACACAGATGTTTGGGGTCCCATCAAGACTGTATCACTTGGTGGTCGACATTGGTTCGTCACGTTCATTAATGACTATTTTAGGTATTGTTGGGTGTACACCATGACAAAGAAGAGTAAAAGAAGAGTGAAGTCCTAGATATATTTGTGGAGTGGAAGAAGAGGTTAGAACTACAGACTGGGAGAAAGATCAAGACGTTGTGATCCGACAACGGTGGTGAGTACACATCAGACTGGGAGAGGGGGTACGTACACAACCATATTGGTGCAGTCGATTTTGGAGAGACGACGCATTGGTGCTCTTCATTTGGTGTCGGCTCAGTTTTGGAAAAACTTCACTGAGGTGGAGAATTGAAGCGAATATAGGAAAAATGGGCAGAAAACAGTTTGGATTTCCAGCAATCGACCGCGAGTGGCGCGACGGTTGACCGCAAACGTGCACTCAAGCTGGAAAAGTCTCTGGACTTTTCACGATCGACCGCGATTGGCGCGACGGTCGACCACCCAAACCCCGTAATGTTTTTCAGTTTCTGTCGTTCTGTCCGGTCGACCTCGACCGCAAGTCGGGCTCGACCTGAGTTTGGTTTCCTGTTCGCATTGGGTTTGTGTTTTGATATAAATTGAAACACGATTTTCTAGGGTTTCTAATCAGAGATTTTAGATTGTATTGAGCATATTGAGAGGGAGAACTTGTGAGCAAGTTGAGAGATTTGGTTTAGGGTTTGTGCGAGTGATTTTTGAGATTGTAACCCTTTATACTCTCCTTGATTTAGTGAAATCTTCCTATCCTCTCCCCGTGGACGTAGGCAAATTGCCGAACCATGTATATCTTTGTGTTTGATTTGATTTGTCGTATTTGGTTTGAATTGTGCTCGTGTGTGGTTAGTTCTCTTCTCCAGTAATCACAGATTTGTTCGGTGTGCGAGCACGCTTCCGCATAGGCGCGCAACAAACTTGGGCATTATTATATTTTTAGTCTTCAAACATGTTAGAATTTGTAGTTTGCGATTATGAAAAAACAATCAACCTTAAAAGATTGAGCACGTTGATTCATACAAAGGGTTAATTTATCGAAATGATTTGAGTATTTATGCAATTGTCTATCTACAAAGCATCTTCCCAGTTCTTTTTTTCCTCACCCGCTTGCATATATGAAAATTTACTATATATTATCATATTTGATCTTTTTTTGAGTGTTGTAGTATGATAACTGTACTTTGATCCGCAAAAGAAAATCTTGAATTCACACTAATAGCTAACACAAACATTTTTATCTGTAGACTATGCATTATTAATTTATTTATAAGAGTTAACCGTTAATTTTTTTTCTGAACAGGGGTGATGAAAAGCCACGTAAAACAGCTCATAAGCAGATGAAAAATGCAAATGAAAAGTACTATTTATTACAACTATATAAACAAAAAACCAATTGAAATTTCAATAATAACTAATGTGTACCCTGTGCAAAGTACGACGCCCTATTTTTTTAAGCATTGCATCTTGAACCAGCCGTCCTCTAAGGTTTAATATATTTAATTTGATTATTGTATGCTTAAAATTAGAAATCATACATATTGTTCTATAGTTAAAATAATACCGTTTATAATACAGTAAATTACTATAGCATGATCATTATATTTACTCCACCCTACCTAAATGACGACCCAAAAATTTATCGTTCTCGCTATTATAATTTACTATAATGTTCACGGTAACATAAACAGTAAAATTTTGGATCTATTATTATTTTGAAAATATTAACTACTTACCCGTTAGTTTTAACGACCCCTGGTTCTCGCTTAAAAAAGAAGACCAGCTGAGAGCATCTCCGGATTCTTCCGACCTCTCACAACGAGCATCACGAACATAATTGACGCCCAAACGTCGTCACGGTGCCGTCACGCCACTTCATCTCAACTCAAGATTGCAGCGTGCTTACCATCACCCGCTCTCCTCAACCCACACCACAGACTTCCTCTCCAACCAAATCTATCCACGTCTCGCCAGAGAGCGGGCCCCACTCTCAGACGCTGCTTAATCCCACTGTTCTCTACACCACTCCTGCACGCTGTGAGAAAAAGACGAGCGCCTCACTCTAATAAAACTCGAAAGTCGACGAATCCACTGTCTCCTCCTCCTCCTCCTCCTCCTCCTCTCTCTCTCTCCAAACCCTAGCTACCAATTTGGCCGATCGAATTCCCGCCCAATCAAACCCTAGCTCCTCTCAAATCTAGGGGTTTCCCTCCCTTTTTTTTCATGAATGGCTTCTGGACCTCTTCT